GGCCATGGAGCTGGAGTAGCCGGGAGCGCCGACCTCGCATGCGGGCTGCTGCCCCGAGTTTCCCTAGCAGCATGTCCTACGGAAACCGAGCACGCGTGCAGAGCCTTGGCCGCCGTCTCTGGTTCTTTGCTTTGTCTTTTTTCCTTTGTTGTCTTAAAGGGGACAAAAAAAACAGGACTTGACTCCCTGAAGGTGACCTTGGCCACCGGCTGGCCGGACTGGCAGGTGTGAGGAGCCACAGACCCAAAGCCCTGTGCATTCTGGGACAGTTGCTTTTTAAAACATTTTTATGCCAAAAATCCTTCCTGGTGAGTTAACCTTGTCAGATGTACAGAGCGAACGTGAGTGAGGTTCACAGTGCGGAGAAAGACGCAGAGAGCGCAGCCGGGCCACCGCATGTGGCGCTGGGACTGGCTGGGGAGAGGGAGGCTGGTGGGGTCCCTCAGCGGCTCCTCCAAGCCCATGGAGGCCCAGGGCCAGTGCTCGCGGCTGCATGGAGCTTTGATGAAACTTCATTTGCACAGAGGACTTTTGAATTTTTTATGGATAGAATGTAGTCAGGAAAACCAAAGGGCTTGATGTTTAATTGCTTCTCTGGGGGAATTCTGCCAGCAGCCATGGCAGAGGCGGTTTCCCTAGAGGACCTGAGGTTTTTGATGTCACCTGCTCAAAGTGGGTTCCTAGGGGCATTGGCCAAGCACTAGTACATCTCTTTATTCAGTTACAAAAACTTCAGGTGAAATCCTACACTTCCATGTACATTACATGGCTTAAGATTCACCAAGAACAGATTTTTAATTCTCAACTAGACTGAACTCTAGAGAAGTCCAGAAGTCATTAGAGCTTCCAGGCTCCGCCACATGATCAGAGCCAGAGCCAGGGACACTGTGCCTGCAGATGGCAGCTTTGCTTGTTTAAGCCGTGTATTCCAGAGATGGTGAGATTCTGTCGGTATCTGAAGTCCCAGCTGGTTTGTGGCCAGGAAACCCTTTGCCAGTGTCCGGGGCGCTGCCTGAAGCGCTCTGCCTTGGCCGAGGTACCGTGACCGCCCTCAGCTCAGATGAGCTTCGTCAGGAGCCACATGTGACACTGGGATGCCCTTTTAGGGATGACTGTGGGACCCAGAGCACTCCTCGGTCAGAGGGCACCGAGGTTGGCACCGGATGTTCTCTTCAGTAGCCAGAAGTACAGAAAGAAAACGTTGATCCTTTTGACTTCCATCCAGTGTTGGGTTTCTTGAGGTTGGGGTGTGACTTCACAGCCACCCTCGGCCGGTGTCGTGTTCGAGGAGAGGGAAGCTTGCAAGACTGCGCTATGGATTCTCACCACTCCCAGTGCTCCGGGGATCTGGTCGGTACTTGGGCTCAGAAGAATTCTTTCCAAAGTTTCTGTCCAATGACCTCTGGGTCAGGGTCATCTGCAGACAGAAACAAGGCCTTTGCCCCTGGCCAGCCAGTCACAGGGCCTGGATGTTTGTTTCTATAGATTTTCTTCAGCTCTCACTGTAGCTTAGCCGGACTTTCTTGCTATCATATAAGCGGTTAGAATTAGGGCATGCTGGTTCCGGAGTGCAAGGATGGTCTGGGGAGGTCACCTTGCCTGCCTGCTTCGTCTTTCTAACCTAGTGCTTCCTCTTGCCCTCCCTGAACCAGTGTTTCCAGACCTCCTGCACTTAGATGGGGTTTGGGCAGTTTGCAGTAAGCACCTTGCTGTGAGTGCCGACAGTCCCAGCCATGTGTGGACTCCGGCGGCCCGAGGAAAGCAGGTGGCTTTGCAGAGCGCTGCAGAACTCATGCCTGTGTTTACACGACCGTGTCAGGCGGGACCATCCCTCCCCGCCACGCAGCTTCCCTCCGGACGTCCCGGGCCCCGATCCAAGGCTCCCAGCTGTGAGGACGTCGGGTTAAGGGAGGTCCTGATCCGATGGAGGACTTTTCTTTTTAAACACAGGAACACCAAAGCAAACTGTGGGAAGGAGCTGCCCAGCCCCACGGGAAGCTTAAGCAGACACAACTGTACCTAAAGCACTGGTGCCAGCCTTTCTAGAGCACAAAGCTAGCTCAGCTAAGAAAGGGCAAAGCTGTCGGGAGCAGCGGTTCTGACTAGAAAGGTGCCCTCGATCCTTCCGTGGCTGGCTCTTCTGTGGGACCAACGTGGTGGCAGCGGCCTGCAGCCCATGCCTGTGGGCCTGAAGGAAGCACAAATCCTCCACCTGCCTTTCTTCTCTGCCCTTCCCACCCGCCCGTCCATCCACAGGTTGCCAGCGGCCCCCAGAAACCTTACTGAGTGCCTCGTGGTACTCAGGACTGCAGACACCTGTGGCTTCTCTGGAGCAAGAAGAAAGCCACGTGGGTGGACAGGGCCCGGCCTGGGGGACACGCTGCCCACGGCAGAGCCCACTTGCTCCCAAGGTGCTAGGGACGGTCTCAAGGTCGTTGGTTCCCGTCTTTTCTTCAGTTTGTGGAACTTCTGCCTTTTCTATTCTGTGATCTGTCCGATGCCCGATGCTTCTGTTCTCTCCCTGATCCTTTCTACTATGCATTTCCTTCTATCAGGTGTACAGAGTTAAATACTGTGTATTTATCACTCCTGAGTACATGAACTTATGAGAGAGATAAGCCTTTGATGTTTTTCCAGATGATTAAGCTTCTCTGTAAACTTGAAATAAACAGCAAAATGGTGCAGAACCTGGGTTGCTGGGGCTTTGTTGTTTATCAGTCCGTGGGCCCCTGCGCCTACTTCCCGTCCTCAGGCCGACAGCAGGTCGGGTACCCCAGGCCAGCGTAACGCCGTCAGTGGTCCTGGTCAGGGCCGGTCCTGCGTGCGCTGGTCCGTGCGGTGTGGAGAGGAGCAGAACGCACTGCCAGGCCTGGGCCTCGGTGGGGTGGGCGTGGAGCAGCACAGCTCTGGCAGCAGGGGAGGGGAGGGGAGCCTGTCCCATGGGCCGCACTCGCTGTGTGACCCTTCACCCCAGGGCCGACTGGCCTGAGCCGAGGCTCAGAGTCCCCTCCTCAGAGCATCCAAACCTCAATGTCCTGGCCACTCCTCGGCATCTGGGTGCTGCTTCAGGATAGAGGCCTGTGGCTCCCCGCATTTGAACCTCACCCCCTGCCCCTTCTTGCCACGTAGTCCAAGTGGGCCTTAAACCCATGTCATCCTCCTGCCTCGGGTATGCACCACCGCCCCTCGCTCACTGTGTAGTTCAGGCCGACCTTGAACTCACTACAAAGCCCAGGTCAGCCTTGAACTCACAGGGACCCTCCTGCCTCTGCCTCGAAAGTGCTGAGATTATAGGTGTGTGCCCTCTCTCGCCTGGCTTGAACATCATTCTGTTTATCAAGAGACAGGAGGTGAAGTCTGAAAGGTTCCCATCTCACTGCTTCTGAACCTAGTATGGGTCTTTAGAAGTCAGGAGCTGGAGCGCCTCCCCACCTCTGCCTGAGCCTTTGAGGTGCTGAGCAGGAAAAGCCCAGAGCGCCAGGCGCCACAGTCCTGGAGGCAAGGGTGAGAGCTCTGGGTGCCTGGACAGGCTGAGGACGCAGCCGATGCAAGGTGATGTTGTGAGGTCAGCAGCGCCCGACACCCAGCCTGCATCCCAACTGACCTTCGCATCCCAGACCCAGGATGGGTCTGCGCAGAACGGCAATTCCCTGCTCAGTCCGGAAGTCAGTGGCCAGGGCCCAGGCAGGCGCAGGCCAGCTCTAGGTCTGGCACATCCGGGGAAGCTGTGCTTTGTTCACTTCCTGGGGGGTACTCAGGAGGTGGGGGCCCAGGACAAACCCCTTCTGCCACACCCCCACCTTTTGGAGTGCCTGGGGATCGAACCTGGGCCTTCACACTGAGCTCTGCATGTACCTCCAGCCCTGTTCTTGAGACGGTCTGGTAACTCCAGCCCTGCTGCTGGGAGGATTCAGTTCCCAGCCCAGGAATTTTGGGGGACACATTCAGACCATATCGCCACCCTAAAAACTCCAAACCACTCTGAGCCCTTCCCAGGGCTTTGCCAAGAGCATTCTGTAAACTCCACCCCGAAGCACGAAGAGCCCGGCGTGCTCTGCCCTGGGAAGCAGGGTAGGTCTGGCGGGCAGGAGGGCCGGCCTTCCTTCCTGGGGCCTCGAACACCGGGGCGATGCTCCTCACCCCTGTGCAAGAAAGGTGCGCAGTCTGCTCTGATTGGAGACTTAGAAAGGAGAGCAGGTGACACTTCCAGGGCCTCTAAAACGTGTGACCTGTGTAGCACTCGCTGCACCTAAGACATCAGCTCAGGTAAGACCCACTACAGAAAAAAATTATGTGCTTCAAAGGGACAACCTAATGAAGGTCAAAATTTTTAGGCTTTTAAGGGATGAAAATGAAAAAAAAAAAAAAGCTAAAGATCGAGACAGATGGTTTCAAGACCTCTTCTGGCACAGTGAGCTGAATGACAGATCATTTTACTGTCCAAGTTTTCAACCTGAAATATGAACAGAGAGGTGCCCCAGAGAAAAGGGTGGTTCAGGGTCATAGAAGGATGGCAGTCCAGGTGGACACATCCGGGGAAGCGAGGCCTGGGACACTTTGTGTGGCTTGTTTTATTCTTGCTATGTAGTTCAGGCTGGCCTTGAACTCACAGTGATCCTCCTGCCTCAGCCTCCTGAGTGCTGAGATAACAGGTGTGCGCCACCATGCGTGTCACTGATAACTTATAAAGTAGAAGAGAGGGAAGGTGAGTTGTAGCTCATGTGAGAGTGCAAATGAGGGTTAAGAAAAACCACTTCTTGTAATGTTTGGTCCTCAGCCTTCTCAACACAGCTGCTCTCAGAAGAGAAATGGGATGGGAAGGACAGTGTCCCTGGCTGTGGGGAAGAAGGAACAGCAGCTCGGGCCTGCTATAAGTCCGGTGACCACACCAGGGAACCCTTCCTTTCCTTTTCTTTGGCTGAGACAGGGTCTCCTATTTCATCCAGGCTGGCCTTGAACTCACTGTGTAGCCCAGGTTGACCTCAGACTTACAGCAACCGTCCTGCCTCAGCCTCCTGAGTGCTGGGATGACAAGTGTGCGCCAGCACACCTGGGTTCTCTTTTCCTCACAAGGTGCTGGAACAGGGCTGCTGTGCCTGAGGCTTGGACCTGTCCTGAGGGGACACTGAGGCAGCCCTGGGAGCCACAGCGGTGTCGCTGCCTCGGGCTGGCCACTCATTGGGACCCCATGGAGAGGTGGCCTAGCAAACAACGCAACCACTGCGTGGGGCAGAGGGACCCTCCCTCCACAGAGAACACAGCGCTGCTGGCCCCAAGTCCTTGTGGAGACGGAGCCCAAATCCAGAACATTCTTGGGCAACACAGCAGCCATTTCCCCCTTCTTCTGTGTGTCCACAAGGGCCGTGGGAGCCTGGTGTGGCCCAGGGGGCAGGGTCACTGGTCCGTGTCCCCAGCAAGGCCCTGCAAGGACAAGCAGGTGAGTGTGTACAGGACTGTGAGGTGCAGGTGGGTCTGGGTGCTTTTCCTGAGCACCTGGGGGTGGTCCCCTCACCATCCAGAGCAGGGTGTCCCATGTGATGGTGCCCAGCCCTCGCGTTATGGAAGCTGAATTTAAGTACTGTGAGAGACCTTTTAAATTCTAGTTTGAGAAAAGGTCACGTGAAGTTGCCCGGGCTGGCCTAGAATTTGGGATCCTCCTGCCTCAGCCTCCTGAGTAGCTGGGAATACAGTGTGCACCAGTGCAGCTAACTCAAAGCTAGGTTTTATAGAGTTCACGTGAAAGAACCAGGGGTCTAGAGATGGTGCGGATGCTGAGGGTGGCGTGTGACTGCCTGGGGTGACAGGTGAACAGGCAGCAGGGGAACGGGGGTGGGGGGGACTTCAGGTCTGCTAGGAGCAAGGCAGCACCTACCTGCTCGTAATCCTCCACGAACTTGTACTTCTTCTCCCGGTAGTAGTACCTCTTCTTCATGCAGTAGAGGACGATGACATCGCACAGCACTGTCGCCTGCAGTCAGCAAGGGTGAGACAGAAGGAACGGGGTGCTCTGGGCTCCCCCAGACCGCCCGGCCCCTCCCTGGAAGCCTGGGACCGGCCACTCACCACGCCCAGCAGCGCCAGGCCGGAGCCCACGTTGATCATGGTGGGGATGACGTCGAACTTCCCGGCCTGAGGGAGAAACAGTTCTGAGCCGCGGGGACGACGGGATATGAAAGCAGGGGAGCGGGGCGGGAGGAGGGACAGTGGGGTCGGGGTCGGGGTCGCTGCCGCCACCTTTCCGAACACGATGACGTCGAAGCGGATGCCGTAGGCCTTGATGAGCGTACGCTGCTCCTGGCCAGCGAGGTCCCTGTAGTACCTGGCGAACCTGGGGGAGGGCGGCGGGTGAGGCGGACAGGGACGCCGGGGCTGGCGTGGGCTCCCACTCGGGCCCCAAGAATCGGGTGATGGTGGGGACCGAGCGACACAAGCTTAATTCCTGGAAGGAAATCCAAATCCGGCGCCGCGCGGGAAGGTCCCGCCCAGCTTCCCTGCAATGCCGCTCGTCACCACGAGGGCGCGACAAGGGCAACGAAAAGGCCTGGGGTCAGGGAGCTGCAGGTTTTGCTGCGACACCTCTGCCACTCAGATTGCAGCCCCGCCGCGCGAGTCCTGTCCCCCATTCATGTCCATCCTGGACCTGTGAGGGTGACCTTGTTTGGAATAAGGTCTTGGCAGATATCATTAGTCGAGATGAGGTTTTGATTTTTTTTCTTTTAAAGGCTAGAAGGAGACAAGGGCCACGCAGCAACGCTGCTGACTCAGGTGCCACCCCTAGGCCTATTATTAGGAGTAACTCAGGGAGAAGGCCTGGGTTCAGACTCCGCTCCTGGAAAAGACACAGAGACCTGCGGAGAGGGAAGAGCTGTGGGCCGACAGGTGGAGAGCGGAGTGACAGGGCCAGGACAGGGCCTCTGGGAGCCGCCAGAGGTGGGAGACGGCTGGGTGTGGCAGCGCACGCCTGTGACCCCAGCACTCTGGGAGGCTGAGGCAGGACCAGCCTGGACGATTTAGAGACTCAGTAAATTCCTGTCTCAAAAGAAAAAGCCTTGGGGTGGAGGGCAGCTCGGGCAGCTCGGGCAGCTCAGGGAACTCAGCGCGGAGGCCTCCAGTTTGATCCCCGGCGTCACGCTTGGTCAGTCTGCCTTTCTGATACTGACCCTGCGGCCTCGGCCTCCTCCCCAGCGCTGGAATTACAGGCTCGCCCCGCCACGCGCGGCTCAACGCCTTCCCGAGCGGGCCGCCCACC